ATGTGGCGCAACCGGCTTCCAAGGCGCCCCAAGAGGTCTCCAAGAGAGCCCCCAAGAGGTCCCCAAGAGGGCCCCCCGTGTTTGAAGGATTTGGGCGTTCTCGCCTTTTCGGCCCTCCAACCTTCCAAGACGGCCCAAGAGGCCCTCGAGACCACCCCAAAACGGCCCAAGAGGCCTCCAAGAGCCCCAGGACAGCCCAAGAGCGCCCCAAGACGGCCCAAGAGACGCCCAACCGGCCCAAGACGGCCCCAAAAGGGGCCCCAGAGAGGGAACATGAACCGAAAATTCGAGCCTTCCGCCCCAACGGGCCCCCAGGCCCCAGGAGGAGCCCAAGAGGCCCCAAGAGGCTTTCAAAAGGCCCTCAAGAGGCCCCGAGAGGCCCCCAAGAGGCCTCAAAACGGCCCACCAAAGGCCTCGAAACTGCCTCCAAGAAGCCCCCAAGAGGCCTCCCACGAGATTCCAACGAACATCCACTAGGCTTGTGACTCACAAACCAGGTGGCCGTGACCTGCCGTAGGCAGCCGGATGATCGGTGCTGCGGGCAGGCCTTATCCCCGGAGTGGCGCCCTCGCTCCCCTCCGCCTCCCACCCCTGGCAGGGGTGGCGCGGTGCTGGGCAGCGCAGCGCTCGTGGGCCGCAGCGGGGAGGCAAGGGAGGGCGCGGCCGAGCCGCGGAGGCGCAGGGAGGACTGCAGGGAGGGAGGGGGAGGCCCTCCCGCACCTCCTCCTCCCCCCCTTGGAGGGCCCACGACGGGCCCAGGGGCCGGTTCTGAAGGGGGTTCGGTGGCAACTCATGGGAGCCATGGGCGAATCGACGCTAGTCGACACTAAATCGACGCTAATCGACGCTAAATCGACGCAGATCGACGCTGACCGACGCTAAATCGTTGCTATATCGACCACTCCCAGACGCCAATCGACGCTAATGACAGAATTGAGAGGGTACACAAGGCTCCCATGATTTGCTACCGAGAGAGAGGATGAGAAGAAGGACACTCACCACCACCACCACCACCACCAAGGGGCAGCATCGCCAGAGGCTAAATCAAGAATCTCTGAGATCTCGCGGCTCTGGAGGACGTCTCGGGCGCCGCGCCCTTCTCAGAGCGTTACGGAACGCTCTGAGAGCGTTACGGAACGCTCTGGAACGGATTGATCCTCGTCCTAGACCCGTCCGACACCATCCTAGTGCCCAGGATACCCCTGGCCGGGCGTCGTAATGGTGATGTAGAAGTGCCTACTGCCGCGGTAGTGGAGAAAGCAAACACGAGGAGGAATGGGAAGAGGAGGAGGAGGAGGAAGCCAACGACGGCGAGGAGGGAGCGGGAAGAAACAGCAGCAGTGGCAGGGCAAGAGAGAGGGTGAGAAGCAAGAGGTGGGCACTGCGCCTGGTCTGCCGCTGCAGCCGGATCGGCCCTGCGATCGGGCCGCCGCTCGCTGGCGCGGCGGATCGGGCGGGGACATAAGCGCAGCTCTTGCGCTTCACCGTGCAGTCCAGCGTGGCGGCGGCGGTGGTTGTCGCCGTCTTGGCGGCGTCGGCCGCGCTGGTCGTGGTCTTAGAATCCTCTGACGCGGCCGTTGGCGACAGTGTGGGCAGTGTCGTCGTCACCTCGGCGGTGGCGACGGCAGTCGTCGTCACCTCGGTGGTGGCGGCGGCAGTCGTCGTCACTACGGTGGGGCCATGCTGACCGTGCCGAGAGCTCTTATTCCCAGAACTCGGCGAGCTCTTGTTCTTGGAGCTCTTGTTCTTGGAGCTCGACGCCGTCCCGTTGGAGAGGTTAGCTCCGGTATGGTTCGGGCCTGGATGACCGTCATCCGGACAGTAGTAGATCATCTCGTAGGTGGTATCCTTCGGGCACGTGATCAGTCCCATTCCGTCGTCGTATGAATAGCCATACACCCCAGGGCAGTGCTCGTGCACGGCTTTGACGAAGTTGGTGTCCTCCACGGGTCCCTCGCGGCATTTCTCTGGCGACATGGGCGGGGTGGGGCAGCAGAAGTCGACGGCCGCGTCGTCCGCGGGGGACACCTCGTCTGCCACGCTGTTTTCCCAGTTGTTGGAAGTCAACTTCGCGCAGGGACTGTAGCACCCAACGACCTGCTCGCTCGCAGGGTGCACCACCTGAAGACTCGTTTTCAGCTTTCCCAGCTTCTCCCGCCCAGGACACACGTCCAGCGTCAGCCTGGAGCAGTTCAAGCTGGTGACAACCGGTCTGTCGCCGTCTCCCGCGTTGCACTTCTTCCCTTCCTTCAGCTTCATCTTGAACTCGAACGGCAGGGTCCACCCGTCCACCAGGCTGACGTCGATCCAGTCGATGTCCTGCTCGGTGCCAAAGGTGCCCTCGAACTTGGAGTCGATCGGCGGCGCACAGCCCAGCGTCTCGTTGCACTCCTGCCCGGGGCCCCCGCTCTCCCCGATGAGGCACTGGTCGCCCTTGCTGCTGCACCGCATCTTCGGCCAGTAGCGCGTGGCCGAGAGCCCGTCGCTCGTTCTGAATAGGGGAGCAAACAATGACACGAACATAAAAACTCGGAGGTGCGCGCGGATTTCTTGGATCGGCGCTGGGGCCCCCTGGCGGCGCCTCCGGCGCTGCCCCTGTCGCGCCCAGCGCGCCAGGGAGTGTGGCGCCGGCCTGGGCCCGTCGAGGAGCGCCTCGGCGGGACACGCGCCCTCGGGGGGCGGCCCGCCCCCGAAGGGCAGCGCGCGCTTCTGGTGCGTCAGGACCTCGGGCAGAAGAGAGAGAGAAGGAGGAGGAGGAGGAGGAGGAGGAGGAGGAGGATGCGAGGAGGAGGAGGAGGAGGAGGGGAGTAGGAGGAGGAGGCGGAGGAGAGAGGATGAGAGACGGAGGAGGAGGAGAGGAGGAGGAGGAGGAGGAGGAGGAGGAGGAGGAGGAGAAGGGGGAGGAGGAGGAGGAGGAGGAGGAGGAGGAGGAGGAGGGAGGAGGAGAGGAGGCGGAGCGGAGGCGGAGGAGGGAGGAGGGGGGGAGGAGGAGGAGGGGGAAGAGAGGAGGAGAGGAGGAGGAGGAGGAGGAGGAGGAGGAGGATGAGCGGAGGAGGAGGAGGAGGAGGAGGAAGGAGGAGGAGGATGAGGGGAGGAGGAGTGAGTGAGGAGGAGGAGAGAGGAGAGAGGAGGAAAGGAGAGAGGAGAGAGGAGGAGGAGGAGGGGAGGAGGAGGAAGAGGAGGAGTGAGAGGAGATGTGACGAGAGAGGAGGGGAGAGAGGAGGAGGAGGAGGAGGAGGCCACCGAGGATATTAACCGAGGGAGGTCTTCGGTTCCGAGGGGGAGGTGTGGTGTGGATGGTGGTTGAGGGGAGGAGAAAAAAAGAAAAAAAAAAAAAAAAAAAAGGGGGGGGGAAGAAAAAAGAGAGGAGAAAAAGGGCGGGAGGCGGAGGGAGGGGGGGGGGGAGGGGGAGGGGGGAAAAAAAGACAAAAGAGGAGAAAGAGGAGGAGAGAGGAGGAGGAGGAGGAGGGGGAGGAGTGGCGAGGTTTGGAGGTGTGTGAGGGAGGAAGGAGGAGGAGGAGGAGGAGGAGAAGGAGGAGGAGGAGGGGGAGGGGGAGGAGTTTATATGCTCATGTCACAGTTCGCTCCCCTATCTAAAGTCGTGGTGCTTCCCCGGGTCCAGTCGCAGGTTCTGCCGGTCGGGCCCCGCCTCGGCGCCCGCCATGTGCGCGACCCACAGGGGCTCCCGCGCGCAGCCGTTGGTGATGCGCAGCCGCTGCGCGGCGGCGAGCGGGAGCAGGGCCAGCAGCGGGGCGCTGGCGCCGCGTGGCGGCCAGGGCGGAGGCATCGCCGCGGTGGCCCCCCCTAGTGGGAGGCCCGACGAGCCGGCAGGCTGCGCCGGTCGCCTTCTGCCCAGAAGGGCAGCTCGAGCCAGCCAGGGGCGCCTCAGGAGGCCTCCCCCCCCTCCTGGCTACAGTGGCTGTCCTTTCGTCCATTGCCGGAGCTGTGGCACTCAACGAGTTCAGGAAGCGTGCTCCCAGGTTCCTGCTGCTCACGAGAGTACAGCCGACTCCTGCCACAGAGGGCCACGCCAGGAGAGGGGTGTTGAGAGAGGGAGTCGCAAGAACTCGCCGACACCCTGGAGTTGCTCGAAATCCGCTTCCCCGACTCCCCCCCCCTCGATGGCCAGCCCAGAAGGCCGGGCGTCCAAGACCCTCTGTCGACGGCGACAACCTCGCCCCAACTGGCTGAAAGGTAGTCTGCGAGTTGAAGCGGCGGAGTGTCGAAGTCAGTTCAGGACGGCCTCCAAGCGGTCCCGAGACCGCCCACGACCAGGGAGCTCCCCTAGAATGCCCGAAAATGCAAAAGTCGTCCAAAGATGATCAAGCCAGCCCTCTGGGCGGAGGAGCGTTTCCTCTTCCAACGCCCTTCTTCCCCTTCGGGGAGGAGTTCGCCCCTGCCCCCAACACCCCCCCCTCCCCTAGCTCTGGAGGGGGGGATCGTGAGGATTTAGAACGTCCGAAACGGCCAAGATATTACCCACGATGGCGCAAGAGAGTACAACATGGCCTGCAAGATGGCACAAGATGCCCCCTATGTTGGTTCACTGAGGCTTCCAGCATGCCTCCAAGAGGCCTCAAAGACCGCTACGAGATGTAGGCCACAGCATTCCAAAAAGGAAACCATATGTGCATGTATATATATATATATACATACATACATACATACATACATACATACATACATACATACATACATACATACATACATGCATGCATGCATGCATGCATGATGCATACATACATACATACATACATACATACATACATACATACATACATACATACATACATACATACAATATACATATATAGTCATCGCCTTTTGGCCCCAGTGGCCCTCTGAGGCCTCAGGGCGGCTCCGAGGTGGACGAGGAGATCCCCAAGAGCGGCCCAAGAGCGCCTCAGAGGGACCCAAGGGGCACTGTTCGGGCTCAAGGTGGGCTATCCTATTCCACGCCGCCCCCTGCGCTCAAGCCCAACACCATCTGAAAAACCTGGCAGCTGACAGGACAGATGTAAGCATATCGGGGGCATCCTTCGGAGGCCGTTGGGACAAGACGGCTCCAAGATGGCTTCAGATGGCTCAAGACGGCCTCCAAGATGGCGCAAGATGTTTCAGGAGAGCTCAAGATGTCATCCAAGATGTTTCGAAAAGGCCAATAAGACCGCCCCTAGCCGGTTCCAAGTGTCCCCGTGAGGCGAAAGTCCTTCCGAAACTTGAGCAACATCATCATGTTTGCCTTCTCGCTATTCCGCTTCCGAAGGGGCCTCCGAGGCCCCGAGATGCCCCGACGGCGACTCAAGAGGGTCCCAAGAGGCATCTTCTGAGGCTGCGCACACGCAACAGAATTGAAGCCTCTTCGTGTTGACCTCCGCTCGAATTGCATTCATGTCATGCGTAGTTTTTTGGCTCTCAAGGGAGCGGCGACAGGATCTAAGCCCCAGTACCGAATCTGAAGGTCGGTCCCTCTACACTGTGCCAGCACAGCATCAAAAATTGCGATTGCAGCATACGGAAAATACAGATTTTGTGAACACAGTGCGATTCCTGTTAGCCCATTCTTCCAGACCAGGGAGCTCCACAAGAATGCCCGAAGATGCAAGAGGGTCCCAAGAGGCATCTTCTGGGGCTACAGCGAGACGAGGCTTATCAGGACCCTCCGTCTTTGATCGATGCCCTCGGAGAGGGGCCCCATGCAGGGGTCCCAAGAGGGCCCCAAGAGGGCCCCGAAATGTTCAAAAATGGCGGAGGGATCCACCACGGCTCCGAGAGGCTTCCAAGATGCTCCTGGACAAAAAAATCGCGAAGGTTCTGATGGTTGACTCCCGCCGTCATCGTCCTCATCCTTCTCCTCCTCCTCCTCCTCCTCATCATCCTTCTCATCATCATCATCATCATCATCATCATCATCACCACCACCACCACCACCACCACCACAATCATCATCATCATCAGCAGCAGCAGCAGCATCAGCATCAGCATCAACATCATCATCATCCTCATCAACAGCAGCATCAGCATCATCACCAGCATCATCGTCATCCTCATCAGCATCATCATCAGCATCATCACCAGCAGCAGCATCATAATCATCATCATCACCATCATCATCCTCATCCTCAACTCCCTCTTCATCCTCATGACTCCTCCCCTTCCTTCCTCCTTTTCGACTTGATCCTTCGCATCCTTCTCCTGCTTCGACGGCAGGCTCAGCAATCCCACTCACGGCTGGGCTCAAGTCGATTCTAAGTTTCGGCTTGACGGTTGACCCACCTGTCTGTTCCACTGGATGCTCCTACACTTCTTCGATCAAGGCTACTCACCTGTCGTCTTCTGGATGGGCTGGCGGGGGCACGCGAAGCGTCAAGAAGATGGAATATCAGATTGCTAGCCTTCTCCACCAGTGTTCCAGGATGGCCCCGAGAGGCCCCCGAGATGAACCCAGAGACCCCAAGAGAACCCCAAGATTGCCCAAGATCGTTCAAGGTGGCCCTGGACGCGCCAAGATGCCCCACAGATGCCAGAGATATCCTCACAGGGACGCAAAAGTGCCCCAACAAAACCAGAAGATAACACGACCTGGGAAACCAGAGCAGAAAGCGCAGTCCTCCAGACCTGGCCGTTCCCGCCTGCAGCGCAGGCCGGGCGAGATTATTTTGTCCATGTGGTCGTTTCCCGTAACCCTGAGCCCAAAAATGTTGCAATATCTTCCTGACGTACGTAGCGCACTACCCCCCATGACCCGTCGACGCAGGCGGTCTCGTGTGGGGCTCTAAACAACCGTGTGGACGGCGCTGGTTATGCTAAACCCGTAGCCCCACGAACAGCTCGCAGAGGCAGGTGGGCATCTTCGTACCCCAGCCCCGCCCCTTCTCCGCTGGCTTCCGCCAGCCTGCCGCCGGCGGCTTTCCGCCGCCTTCCGCGGAGGAGGAGATGCCAACTCCTTCGATCCTGAAGGCGAGGCCCTTTGCGGAATGCCTCACGTGTGTGACCGGCACCTCCAGAAGGTTCTTCCAAGGGGCGCCACACGCACAGGATTCTTGGTAGACGACCAGCACAGCGCTAAGACAGCCCAAAAAGGCTCAAGGACGCCATGAGGGGGTTCCAAGGCGAACTCCAAGAGGGCCCCATGAAGCAAGAATCGTCAAAATCCTCCAGGGAAACGTATAATTTGAACATATCAGCTTACTGGGTATCAACAGCGTCCCCAACGGCCCAAGAGGCCCCCCTCATCCTTCCAAGACGGCCCCCGCGCGCAGCGTCGCCACGTTGAACCCACACACGCACACACGCGCACACACACACATACACACACACAGCAAAAAACCCACCCACAGCACCAACACGCACACACGCAACAACGCACACACGCAACAACGCACACACGCACGCACGCACGCACACTTTCCAACACATACACACACACAATCACACACACATATATAAAATACCGACATACATACATACATACATACATACATGCATGCATGCATGCAT